CTACATATATATCACATGAATTGATATGAGATTTTAAGTCTGGGTATTATATATGTCGAAAGAATAGGAAAATCCGAACAATTAATATCAGCCATGCTTCGATTACTGTATGATTGTTCTCCCTTACAGTCATTCATTATAGATACACACATATGATGCGATGACTGAATGTTTGTTGTCCATACATGTATATATGTATACATACATACCTCTGACTTCTAGATACACGTCTAATCATACACTGTCGATGTTTAAACCTATAAATGTTGACCCACCTGTAGCCCCCAACGCAGCTGTCCTAGAGAGATCATACTCGCTGTGTGGACTGTCCAAGGATTCAGACTCTTTTGAATGTGTTTGCCTTTCGAATCTCTGGCACAGTACGTCGCCCACAGTCATTTCGAGCGTCACCGCAAGTGATGTTCGTACCCAATCGACAAGTGCCCACATACTGTTGGACTATGGTAAGTTGTAGTATCCTTCTTCAAGCACACTGACGGTACTTAAACAGCCCTGTGAGAATGAGGATCGTGCATACACAGGTGCATACAGGTCTCTTGATGATAGTAGAGGGTTTGTAGTTTAAGGTTTGTAGTTTTAGGGGTTTCAGGGTTTTGACGATTATGGTGGTAAATATAGCCCCCCTATAAATGGTGATAATTGCTATTTATCTGGTAAGGTGGCAAGAGGGTGTTATTACGTACCGTTGATTCATGTGTTGGCCCAACAGCTCATCGCCTGAATGCGACAAGCACGCTACGTGCAATATATCTATATCAGCGAGTTGATACGAACACCATAAGCACCATGAAACAATTGTATAGTATTTACATACGTAAACGATAATTTGGAATATGATTTATTTGGTTGCAAGTTTACACATACTAGAATCCTCATTCGACATCGTTTAAAACGATGATACTAATTTATCATAAACGTGTGCCGGTTAAACATCATCCAGGAGTATACATCCTTGAACGTTTTCACCAGCTACTAAGCTGAACACCTCAGCATGCCAGTACTGTAGCTTAAACAGTACTATGCGTTGTGATTCTTCTCCACTCGGAACCGCGCTATATTGACCTACTAATCGTCCTTCTACTATTTTAGTTGTTTGGTTGGTTTACACACCAACCTTTCTCGACGCACTCCCGGAAAACCGTATTTGTCGCATTCAGGTCTTGTCTCCAACGTTTAATAGTTAGAGGCCCATCGGCAGTGTTGGTTTTCATCAACACAACAACATCTGTGACAGGCACGAGCAACCTATCACAGGTAACACTGAGTGTTGTCAGGAGAGTTGGCCGTGTGGTCACCCCCCCCCCCCACCCATGCCTATGCTAGCAATGCCCAGTGGAATGAGGTCAACATGACCTGATTCCATATCTGTACCTGTAATGTTACTGCACTTGAGATTGTAGACTCACCTCGCGGAATGTTCCTCAGAGACAACCGGTGACTCTGGAGACAGTTCTTTCTGCCGCGCAGAGCAATACTGCACACCTTGAATGTGGGATGACATCACCAGTGATACTTGAAACCGAGGTGAACTAATACAGCAAGACACCAGAGTAAGATCACATAGCACACACGTGTGACGAGGATTTTGAGGCCAGAGACGAACCCTTCTCGACAGAAGAGATGACCTTCTCTCAGGAACGAGGATACCACTTTGTAATTTATAGTAGATTGGCAGGGGGGAGGAGGTGATGGCAGACACGGTACCACAGAGGGCAGCAATCAATTCTATTTTTAGTTTGTGGTAGTTAACTTCTGCAGCTAAGGCGTGATGATCTATACTGACCCGCTTCGCACTTTAAACCCGTAGAGCCAGCACTACATAGCGTCGATTCGCTATACTTGTTGCTGGCGTTGGCTGTGTTTGAGACTATGGACTTGGAATCCTTGCCACGTCTGTAACCTGTACCCCCCCCCGCGCAGCTGTTCAGGGTAAGCCATAATCGCTGCGTGTACTGTCTGAGAATTCTAAACCAAGTTTGCTAGCCATACGATGTTTAAGTATAGTACGTCGCCTACAGGCATGTCGGGCGTTGCTGCAAGTGAGATCTCTAGCCAATCGACTGGTGTCCACCTACTGATGGGCGTTGCTAGGTTACAGTGACAATATTCAACCACACGCACTGTGCGTTCCATGCTATGTAGAACATGTTGTTACTGCCAGTGAGGTCTATAGGCAATGGAAATGTCCATCTACTGATGGGCGTTGCTAGGTAACAGTCACAATATTCAACCACACGCACTGTGCGTTTCGTGCTATGTAGTACATGTTGACATTCGGCGCTACTGACAAGGGGTGCACGATCCCATCAACCGGCACACAATTTGATTTGGCAACTACATTGGGGTTGGTTGCGGAATGGTTTACAGGGCTTATAATGCCAGGGTTAAAATACATGGTGGTATTACCAAGTAAGGCTATGTGTGAGACTATCGAAACTTGCTGTGACTGTACGACAACAAAGACTGCTCAATCTACCATCATTAATGATATGGACTTCACCCGGAAGCGGTAAACATCCAGCGATGTACACCCCCCCCCCCCTCGACATGACAATACCCAGGTCTTTATTATTGCGTTTCCCAATTGAGATTGCTCAGCATGCCCCCCACAAGGTGCAGACTCCCGGTCACAAACACCTGCGTGTGTATCGCTCCGTTGTCGCGGCCCACCTTCTCCACCCAGTTCTTCACATTCTCAATGGACGAGAACGTCTGCACCTTCGCCTTGCCACCCACGTGATGGTCTGCGCTGACCTCCACACCGGCGGCGTCGCACAACTCCTGCCACGTGGTTGCGTTTCGAATGGGGGCCAGGGTTTGGTCGCTCTCGGACTTGTTGTAGCTGATGCTGTCTGTGGGACCCAAGAATACAGTTGAAACCTTAGGACAACCAGATATGCATCAAGTCTACTATATCTCTCATAGAAATAATCTTTATTGAAGTATTTAGAGATGAAAGGGTTGTACCATCTTCCTTAAAACGGGTTATTTTAGAAAAACCCTGTGGTGAAGGAAGTTTTACTGAAGATATATATACGCACACGAACGTGCATGACGGGCTATGCCATATATGCCAATGAGAAGGAATAGGACAAATAGGACCCTCTGTAACAGTATTCTCGAGGCACAGATAGGTGCGCAATGAAGCAACGACAAACAGGGACCGTAAACAGACAGCTGTGTAGCCCCGTATTATACATTCAAACCAAACTAAGCCGACATTACCGCAGGCCAAATCAGCTTATATATATCCCACAGTATATATTCACGCTAACATACACCCACCTGCATGCCGGGCTGTATCGGATGTGATGTTTGGACAGAAGAGCACGTGGTCGAACGGAGTGTCTTTGTGCAGCGCCAGTAACGGCGCCAGCAGATCTGAGACTATCCTGTCCATGCAGTTGAACACAAGCACACGCCTGCTGCGGTGGTCGTCTGTTTCCAGTACAGTGCCCATCCACTCGGCTGCACACTATGTATGGGAATGGAGCAAAGTATAAGCGTGTTGAGGATATATGAACGGGGTATCAGGTCATCTATCCGGCCACACACTATTTATGGGAATGGAGGAAAATACATGGGCGTGTTGGGGATGTATGGACATGGATACCATACAGGAGTCGTTCTGCGAAAGAGACCGGACATCTTGAACACGGTATCACATTGGAAACATGTCTTTCTGATACAGGCTCAGTTGAGTTGTAACGTGGGAGTGAGATTCTCGCCACCAAGATATTAAACTTAAACTACATCAATATATATTCGCGATAGAAACGTTGTGCTATGAGAGTATGTTGTTGCGCCCATATTATTCGATGACATCGATATTTGTCGTTGTGTTATGAGAGTGAGCTAGTCGCAAACGTGTTATTAAATTACACCATAATTTATTTGTAATAGAAAAGTTGTGATATGAGATGGGGATTCTGGCAACCATATTGTTCAATCACATGACGTATTTATTCTGATCAGACTCAATTGTAGCACGGGAGTGGAATTCTGGCAGCTATGCCATTAAATTAGATTGAATTAGATTAGATTAGATTAGATTAGATTAAATTAAATTACATTCTGTATTTATTCTGGACAGACTCAATTGTAACACGGGGAGTGGAATTCTGGCAGCTAGGCCATTAGATTAGATTAAATTAGATTGTATTAAATTGGAATAAATTAGATTAGATTGGAATTCTGGCAACTATGTTTTTACAATACATTACGTATTTATTCGGTACAGAAACATTGGGCTATGGGGCTCAGATTCTCGCCCCCATGTCTACAGTCAATTGAATACCACCAACTACTTCTCTTCCTCTAAATAAAATTGGGACACCAAGCACAGCTCCTTACTCGCGTGGATACGGTTACTCGCCAAAAAGAAGCTCCACGCCAACTAACACTAATACGAATACACACGCTCTCGAACATGGCCACAACTAAATGTTATCTGCATTAATACGAATACGATGGTATGTCGGAGAGCACCCCCACCTCTGCACTCTGCGTGCTATGCGCTACAACTACCCACCCGCAAGCACGAGCACAAACCGTAGTCGAATTAGCCTAAACGTATGACCCCTAAACCCTAAACTAAAACCCTAGACCCTATAAAAAATGAAACGCCTGGGAGAGCCGCAAACTGATAGCTACATAACACACACCTGTATACTCTCCACTGTATGAGCCCCATCTAGGTAGTATGTTGAGTTCTGCTCTGGTCGTTCTAATACCATTGCCCTTCCCGGCCACACGCACGCCCGCAGTCCCGTTATTGTCTCTGGCGATAGCGGGACGGGGTCGCTTGTGGACAAGCTGTCTATTGGGATGTACTCTGGCACACTTCCCTGCAGTTATGGGGGGCGATAGACAAGGCAGGCTGGGCGACTGTTTCGTGATGCGTACACGCACGGTGTGACACCAGTCAGTAATCTTTGGGGCATTGTGGGCGAATACACACACACAGGCACATACGCACACACACACAGGCACATACGCACACACACACACACACACACACATATATATAACAGGTAAGTATCAAGCAAAAACAAACAGAATGCGAGGCTACATACCGTTTCCCTCCACCTCCTCCATTGGTTCGTTGCTTGGAGCGCCAAGGCAGCGTTGCAACTTTGGAATTTGCCGGATAAACCTGCAGGCAACGATATCTGGACATCAATCTCAGACGCAGGTGAAGCACACTTTCGCAGTGCAATTCAGGTGAGTAGAATGTTTAACTAGGCACTCGCCCGCATCCACTAGTGTAGTTCGTATTTCGCATAGTAACACATACAGAAGAGGCGTCTATCTCATTAAGGTGCCTTGCCTGTAGCAAGGTTGTTTCACCGAAACTTGACTACAAATATGAAGACAGCAGTAAACGGACCTGTTGATGATACCTCGTATTGGTACTTCCTAAAACTCGTATGCGCAGACGTATAATCGAGGGCTTATGTTTGAAGGTATATGGAACGGGAGCAGAATATTATTGCTCTACAAAAAATCGATCGGAAGTGTGTTGATATATTGACATGTGCAACTGAAAGGACGTTCGTACGCTTATATGTCCAAGAATACACAGAAACGATGTCATGTACAGATATATATATTTACTGTACACATATGCGATATATACTTACAATAAGTCTACTGCGAAGATACAACTTTCAATCATCGCTACCTGAGCTCTGATAACAGCACAAACCCGGGCTTTGGACACCGGAGGATACATAACCGAATATTCGCACATGAAGTTTATATACACCTCAATAAGTTTATATACACCTCCATTCAGTATAGAGGCACACACAACTACGTGGAAACGGTTCAGCCAGGCACACTGTACTCCTACACTACAGGCCCTCGGATATCAACCGGACGAGCGAACCCACAAGCCTCTTGAACATGTACACAAACAAGCATTCGCAAACCCACCCCAAACGCCTGGCACGCGCATCCCCTCACCCAGGCCAAACCGCTTCATCTGCTGTACAGGCCAAAAAAAAACCCAAGGCCATAAAAAAAACCAAAGCATATGCTTGTCTTGCGAATGAACCACTTCACATACCCAGTTGAATCGGTTCAGCTGTTGGGTAAGCCTCGAGCGTAGGGGCGAGCGTCAGTAGCGCCTTTTGTCTGTTCGCATAGTCAACGAGCACAGCCAGTGCCTCCGCGGGTTGTGCCGTGGTGAAGGCGGGGACGTGCGGCTGTGTAGGGGGCATGGGGATGTGGGTACATTCATGAGCACACACATGTAGGCGATAGGTGCGGTAAATACATGTAGATGTGATAGGTGTGGTAGGTACATTCATGAGCACACACATGTGGGCGATAGGTGTGGTAGATACATTCATGTGCACACATACGTACTATGTTGTGGATAGGTGATACGAATGGGAGTTACATTCGCCTGTGCGCGTAGTTGACCAGAACAAACAAACGATACATCAGATTGTGAAGTGGTCAGAGCGCTACCGCGAGCCTGCACAGGGATGCCACCATGTGCAATGAACACACTTTGGTATGATACTAACAGGTGACATCTCTTTCTCGTGTTCGCGTATTGTAATTCCATGCGGATAGCAAGCGTCTTATAGGGTTTAGGGGTTTTAGAAGGTAAACGCGGGAGGGCGTGCCTCCATAGAGATACAGCCATGGTCAATGAATACACGCTTGCTATGTTGTGGACACGTGACGGGGATGGTGAGCGCTTTCTCTTGTTTGTGTATAGTCATTGTATGAGCACAACCAGCGCCATAGCAGGCTGCTATGTGGTGCGGGCGAGGACACGCGAGGACGCAGTGAAGTAGCCATGGTCACAACGGCACGACGTATGGGGGTCGGAGGTGGGGGGTGTGGGTGTGCCGAACGGGGTCGTAGCTGCATCAGTTGACGGACAGGATGGAAACATAGCCCACAAGGCCTGCCTGAAAGCGATGCTTGCGACATCATCTCAGTTGTAGAATGGTGTAATACATCCCCATATACCGAACAAATAAAGAACGCGACGAAACCTTAAACCCTAAACCCTAAAGTGCCCACAGTCAGGGGCACGATGATTCCGGTGAGAAAGTAGTTCAAGGCATTGGTAGGGATGTCCGTTTGTAACGGTGGCGCGGCAGCACGAACAACTTAGGCACACAAATAGGGCCGACTCGCACACCAGTGACGAACCCTCGGACCCTCAGGCCCACCCCAAGGAGCCAGGTCAAGTACACAGTCACGTCGAGATGCACACAATACGCAATGCTTGCGTATAGGGCACGGATTCGTACTACAGCGTACCTTGAATATACCTGCTTTGTGCAGAGCTATCTCGGGTAAGGTATCACCGAGCATGCGCACGTGGTCAATCCCGAGCGACGACACGGCACACACCACTGGCTTCTCGATGATATTCGTGGGATCGTACATTCCTCCTGAGTATGCGTGTGTGTAAGTAGAACACGGGTTAGAATAGGGTTTCGGGTTTAAAGTTTTGGGGTTTAGGGTTTGACTATGATGATATGGTGTTCCTGATTAAACGAAGCACAGCCATTGAATTCGATTATACAGATGTGGTCATGGGGCTCTACATTCAACTCAGGTGCATACATGCCCAATTTAAGTGCCGATCGAGTGGACTACTGGCGTTTGACTCCTGTTAGATTGGGTACAATGCAGTCCGTTGTGTGAACGTGGGATGTGAACGGATTCAAGGAGCATGCCTAGCCGCCTGGTCGTATCGGTAGTTTAACGTCTACAATGAGTAATTGCCCAGCGCGTGTGTATTGTGTATATAGACGTTAAAACATCTATGAGTCATTCCAACCCACACGTATACAAAACAAGTATGATGCATGAATATAAGTTAAAAACGCGCGTGTAGTGTGTGTACATGGATAGTGTGTACATGGATAGCACAGGGGTGTAGCGTGCATATGGCACCAGTCTGTCATGTGTACGCTCATCTATTTCAGGTGAATTCGCACTACGGGCGCAGTTAATTGAAGTGTCACATCATACGCTACAACGAGACGTCAGCCGCACTTACCAATGAGAAATCAGAGAAGATTGTATGACAATCTACTTACCAATGAAAGGTCTGGGAAAACTGTCAGACAATCTACCTACCAATGAGAGATTCGAGAAAATTGACAGTGGCAATACACACCCAAAACTGTCCGACAATCTACCTACCAATGCCAACCTCGATGATACTGACGTCCACTTTCTCTATCAGGAACGTATGGAAAGCCAGCAAGGTCATAAACCGGAAGTACGACGGCATCTGCAGTTCATCGGTCTTGTTCGCTTGTAGCATAGTCCAGCACTCGTTGAATCGATCGGTAAACGCCTGCCCGCCGATCGTAGGTGTGGGGAATCGCACGTGAATAAGTATTTGAACGAGAGCTCAGTATACGGAAGAAGGCTTTGCAGCTATGCTCAGAAAGACCACTATACAGCGATTCTACATGTGACTTTAAGGACCGGAAGTATCCGTTTCCGAGCGCAAATAACTTCTTTAACAACTTATTCACCGCATGTGTAGAAGTATGTGCACGCGAGCACAACAAATCGAATGCGGCTTTGTAGCTATGCCTAGTAGGTCCCCTACACAGCGTTTCTAAACGGGACTTTCGGACCGCAGGTATTCGTGCACAAGCACAAGAGGTCTTCCTGAGCTTATTCACTACAGCAGACGTTGTGCTGACTAATGGGAACATAAAAAGATTCCAATGCATAGACTCGGACCTGCAAACCATTCATCCGGCCCCGTTGTTGATTGAATACTTTGGTTCGGGGAGAATTTATTGCATCTACCAAGCACAACAGCCGGCAGTTACCACATGCACACTTCACACACCTGTTTACTGAGTGGTTTCCCGTCTATCCGGACTCTCTCTCTCACCTCCACCAGATGCGGTGATGTGTATAGGCCTGTTCTGTATCCGTTGCATCTGAGTATGCTCTCGCTGAACGCACAGGTAGACCCCTTTCCTTTGCTCCCACTTATGTGTATGGCATTGAGGCTGTTGAGAACTTCCACTTTGTGCCTGTGATGTAGGGTATTGTATTCTGGTGAGAATCAGTATCAGAGCTTGTGAGTCTGGTGAGACTGTTCAGCAATCCATCCCAGCAAACCGCAGGAATATATGTTTTAGGGGTTTTCCCCTGTGTATGGCAGGGACTGTTATATGTACTATGCTACACATAGTGCGAAAGAGAGGCACAGTTGTAACCCCTATTCATCGGAGAACACGTCCACAAAGATAAGCTCAGCTGTATTGAAGAAACCCTTCGATGCAACGTAGAGCTATACGCCGTGTTATGTGACGACCAAAGCGTTGTCTGCATTTCCCTGATATAGTTAGCGATGTCAGTATTTCCCTGATGATATAGTTTGCGTGCCGCACATTGGACTGTACCGTGTACACCGATATCAATTCATGCCCACCGCTGACACGCACTCTCCGCTACCAACAGCTCCGTCAATAACTATGAGATACCAAAAAACAGTACACAACTAGTCGGGCAAGCCCCATTGCTAATACTGGCCCACTCCTAACGTATGTCTCAGCGACAACAGAGAGCGTACTATCGAACGCTGTTACCAGAAATATTTGATGTGAGTAGTCCTGGTGAGAGGTTTACAACAGTACTATAGTATACACAAGCAGGTGAGGCACACTGACACTGTACACTATGCCACAATCACACACAACCGCCGTAAAATGGTCCCTCCAAGCTTTCGAATAGTTCCTTCGAGGGCACCAAAGGTGCTTAGAATACATATACATTACATACACATACCCCAAACGTTCGAAAAAAGTCCTCATCTCGGGGAGAGATTTGTCATTTGCCCTTGGATTGGCCTGGAGCATCTTCACATTCTTCGCATTCGTCTGAAGCGAATTAAGCTTCAATATCGCCTCACTGTAATAGTTATCGCCAGCTCTGATGGATTCATATCGCAGTTTTGATCGAAATATGAGTTTGCCATGGGACCTAGTAAAAGGGGTTTCGCCACTTAGTGGGCATAATGTGTGCTAATAAAACTAATGCATGAACTTTAAACACACACACACACACAAACACACACATGTATATATA